CAAATAGTCATATACACACAAAGCAGACAAGTCCTTAGGTTTAGGCTTGCATGGGGTTTGTAGGTAAGTACCCTCTTGAAGTTTAGTTGGCTCAACATGTCCCAGTAATAGTAATTGGGTTCTAAGGGATCTCAATATCACTAATCTTTATTCATTGGGCATTTTTTTAGCGTAAGCCTCTTTAATAGCGACCGAAATATCCCGAAAGTCTGATCTTAATGAGCATAGCATCGAGTATCAACCAACTTCGGACTGCACCAAAGCCGGCTATCTCACTACTTCATAATGGCCAAGTTGTTCAATTAAGGTTCTAAGGTAATTTAGTGTTTCATGACACTACATAGTGGCCCCATATTCTCCTTGACTACTCAAGGGCTACCGGTACCAACAAATGTGTCTCACTAACATAGCTATTGCTTCAACCATGTCGGTATACCCCACACAGTTTCCACAATCTATTGCTACTTACCTAAAAGGTGCCCTAGATCCGGGTAGAGGATCAAAACAAACCCAAACAAGGAACCATAATGTAAATCAAGCAAGTCAAACAATGAAAAGCAAGTAAAGGTGATTTAGCCCTAAGGTAACCTCACTTTTAAGTACTTCCCCAGCAGAGTCACCAGTTCTGTAACATGGTTGAAGAATTGACTTAGGTGTTTTGCGTTTGATCGCATTTGTTGCGGATAGCAAGAGTCGCCACCGAATTTTCTTTTATCTAATAAGGAAAGGTTGAAAAGAATAGGAAAGACCTTTTGAGATTATTTCTTGAGTTCGGGGGGTAGGTTATGAAAAGGGAAGGTATTAGCACCCTTTCCATCCATAGTTATCTACGGGCTCTTAGTTGCTTGCTAGATCACTTGCTTTTGTTTGAAAACATGCTTGTCGTGTGGGTTTTGAAAGTATTTTGAAAACGTCTTTGTAATGGTTCTCGTTTCTATAAGAACACGTACAAAGTGTTGTTTTGAAAATAGTTCGAAGGGGTGTTTGTGGAATGTGTTTTTGAAAGTGATTTTGAAAAGTGTCTTTGTAATGACTCTCGTTTATATAAGAATACGTACAAAGAGCTTTGTCTTTTGAAAATGTTTCAAATGAAAATGTTGGTGCATAAAATGTTTTTGTTGTGAGCAAGCGAGCAACTAAGAGCATCCTACCTACTCAAAAGATCTTAATGTTCTTTTCCTCCTCCTTTAGATGTTGCTATCTTACCATTGATTTGGTAAGAAGCCCTATCATTGGATGTGAAGGGACGGACATGGGACATTTGTATAGTCATAGGAGGCAACCTATAGGACGTTTTAGCATTGTCTTTTAGGGACTAGATCGTTTACCGAAGGTAACATTGAGGGTCATCGAGGGACTACGATCTTTTATCGAGGGTCTTTGCTAAAATGTTCATATTCGAGGGACATGACTATTTTTTCCAAGGCAACAAGTGAGATTACCCTAAGGGTGCATGTGTGAATAGTGTGTTTGATTTGCATGCATTTAGTCTTTGAACTTTAGGTTGTCTACTTGTTGGTTTTTATCTTGCCATACATCCTAATTACTAACATTTGTACAAAAGCAATAAAAATGCAGAAAATAAATCCTACACTATTACAACCATATTGAATAACATGAAATGTAAATACAAAACAAAAATGAAAGAAAGAAAAATGAATGCTTTGATCTAGGCAGAAAGACCCTTCGATTCTGCCCTTTCTGACTTCCTTAGATTTGGGCATGGAGTCAGTGAGGTCACGCCTTTAGATTTGGGCTTAGCCTGAGGCATGAGATGTAGCCTTCGATTCTTCCTCTCTGCCTCCTTCGACTGGGGCCTGGAATTAGCATGGCCATCTTTCTGGCTGCCTCTTTCGTTCAGCATTGAATGCCCTCTTCACCTTAAGTCCCTTGTTGCCTCCTTCGATTGGGGCTTGGAATTCAATGTGGAAGCCTGAGGCTTCGTTTCATACCTCTTTCCTCCTGTTTCTTTTGTTTGAGATTTTGAATAGTAACATGGCCTAAGGCCATGCTAGCATCACCTTATGGCCAGGTTAGTTCTTAAAGCATGTTTAATAAAACAAGAAGGAAAACTAAAAGGGTTAGTCATGGAAACAAATTAAAAAGGTGGAAACGAAAAGGAAAACAAATGTTATGTACATGCTTCAAACAAAGGGAATTATTATTCACATGTTATATTAGAAACGAAAAGTTCAAGGTTTATAGCAACTTACCTTGCTTGAGGCTGGAGCGTGTGTGCTGGACCTTAAGTGGCTGCCTAGATGCTTCTGGATTTGAAGGGAGGGAACGAAAGTGACGTTTCTAATGCTGGATTTGAAGGAGAAGAACAAGTGTGATGTTATTTCTACTGGATTCGAAGGGAAAAAGGTGTGGGGATGTTTCAGACCCTATGCATGTTATGGAGCCTCTTATTTATAGGCAAAGTTGGCTGAAGTTTTGGAGGGAAAACAAAACAATTTGAACAATTTGAGTAAACTGCTTTTGTAGCTTTCAAGGGGCGGTATTCGTATGCCATTTTGGTGCAAGAATGGGGCAGTGTTTCAGGACTGTTGTGCAGCAGTTTTAGAGTGTTATGGCCAGTGTACCAGGCTTGAACTTGGCAGCAAACATCTTTTAAATATTTCATCCTTTCATTTTGACCCCCCCTTCGACCAGATTCTACTTCCAACAATGTTATTTGATTTTCACCCAACAAGTATCTTTCGAATGGTTCACTTTTGTGCATCCTTCGAAGGATCCAAATGTGTGCCCCTTGGATGGGTCACCAAAGTATACCTTAAGGTGGGCTTTGTAAGTCCTTCGAATGGTCCATCAAACGTGTATTTCGAATGGCACACCCAGACATGTCCTTTGAAGGGGTCATGTACGTATCTTTGAAAGGACCAAATGTGTCCTTCCAATGGACTTGTAAGGTATATCCTTCAACAGGGACTCCTATGTATGCCCTTCAAATCCACCAACCATGTGTGTTAAAGGTTGTCAAGGGTGCAATTGAAGCATACTAAAGGGAAATGTGTCCAGTCGAATTTAGTGTAAATATAGCCAATGCCTTATTGAAGCCTGCATACAGGAGGTCTAAACTTTGTGACTCCAAGAAAGCACATAAGAGGTCAATGCTCAAATGAAGACTTGCATGAATGGATTCACATGCCCAAACGAATGACGCATGTTAGGCTGGAAAAAATGCCCAGACGAAAGAGGCATGCAAGAGGAAAAAATGTGCAATCGAAGGCTGCCAAAAGGAGGCTTTTTTGCCTTGGAATTAAAGGAGGCTATAGGAGGCTCTTGCCTTGTGCATGCTGGCCTGGTAGGCGCCTCTTGCATGCAAGAAAGGAGTTGTGGCTCAACCGAAATCTACACATAGCCAGTCATCACCTTGTGAATCAAAGCAAGCATGAAGGCATGTAGGCGGTCATTGCATTGTGAACCATGTGAGGCCATAGATGCAATCGAAGGTGGCATGTATGAAACTCCTGCCTTGTAAATCAAAGCCAGCGTGTTAAAGGCCAGCGCCCAGTCAAAGGATGCAAGCCAAGCTTGCATCGAAAGAGGCCAAAAGGCCAATCGAAGGAGCTGAATCGAAAAAGACTTATTTTTCTCCAATTTTGTCAAAAAGATTATTTTTATCTGTTTTCCCCTTTTTTAACAGTTTCTTTTTTAACTTGATACTGGAAAATCCAATTGTACTTGTACAAGCTTGAATCTTGAAAATCCTTGTGAGAAATGCTTTGAGAATTGAGAGGGAAAATTTTGGGGTACAACAGCGTCCCACATTCGAGGGACATGACTGTATTTTTTGAAGGCAACAAGTGTGGTTAACCCTAGAGGTGCGCATGTGAAAAGTGTGTTTGTTTCAAGTTAGTTTGTCTTAGATTAGGGTTGTCTAGCGATTGATTTTAAATCTTGCCATACACGCCTAATTACTATATATTATAAAGAAAAACAGTAAATTACATAAATTAATCTACGCTATTACAGAGCTTTTGGGAATGGGGAATACAAATTTACAAATGGGGATGGATCGATTCGACAATGCAATTAAAAGTCTATATAAACAATCAATACAACCCAATCGAATTAAAAATAAACAGTTACTTAGACTAAAACAAACTATTAAAATAAAATTAATTGGCAAAATAATCGAAATAATATTTTTTTGTATTTTTTGTTTGTGAGAAATTTTGAAGAGAAAAAAAATAAAACCTATTCTAGAGGAGAAAATAATTGATTACAAAGAAATTAAATCGAATGTATATATATATTTTGGTATTTTCTTAAAGGAAAAATAAAAATCAAAAGGAAATAAAATCCTATTCTAGAATTATGTCTGGAATTTTAGTTTATGAGAAAACTTGAAAGGAAAATAAAAAATAAAAAATAAAAAACCTATTCTATTATATTTTTGGGAATTTTTATCAAGTTAAGAAAATTAAATCAAAATCAAATAAAAGCTATAGATAAAAATTCAAGAATTAAAATTCTAAATACTATTTTTTGAGTATTTTTGAATCATGTAAACAAATTAAAAAAATTAGTAATAAGAAAATATATTAAAAAAAGTAATAAAAAAAAGGAAATAGAAATTAAAAATTAAAAATTAAACAAGTGGGGAGTGTGAAGTTAATAATTGAATACTGAGCTAACAGCTTGAGGCCCAAATGCTGCAAAAAAAGAAATAACAAAAAAAAATAAAACCCTAGCTGGGCCGGATCGGGTCATTCTTAGGCTAAAGGCCCAAATGATTATGTGATTGCAAAGGACCATAAACCCTAGAGTCTAATGGCAGCTGCTGCAGCCTTGGAATTAGTCCAACAATTAATTGTTTTTTCTTTTTCAAATAAACCAAATTAATGTTAATTAAACTAATTCATCACAAATAAAAAAAGAAAAAAATATATGAGTCAGGATAAAATCTCTTCTCTCTCTCACTACTCACGCTCTCTTTTGTTCTCTTTCCCCATCTCTCTCGGTTCTCTCACTCTCTGTTCCATTTCAATGTCTCACCTCATAAAATCAAAAGTAGACAAAGCAAAAAGTAAACAACAGCCAAATGATATAAAAAATTTCAAGAAAGTGAAACCCACCAACTTGAATTTCAGGTGCGAATCAGCGACGCAATTTGGAGGCATTGGGAAGTGACAGCTGATTTGTTCGCGATCTGAGAAGGGTGCGGTGTTCGACTGAGGAATTGTTGGAGAGACAAAATCTGTCGTCTGTGAGGCTGGGGTCGCAGTCGATTTGCGCGGTGGTCCGGGCTGCATGCAACGGTGCTGATGCAGGTCGGAGGAGGTGAAGCAGAGTTTTGTGGTTGTCGTAGATTTCAGAAACGGTTCTACATTTTTCTTCTCTTGATTGTTATTCTGATCTCAACTTTGAACTGTATTTTGCAGGTTACTTATTGTTGTTAGAATGGAATGAATTGGAGAGTTTATGATTTATTCATGGTGTGGTTTATGACAAGTGTTGTGGTTTGAAGTTGAAACAAAGTTGAAGGTGATGGGAATGTTATGTAATGGCTCTATTTTGATATTATGAATTTGAATATCCATATCTTGGTTTGAGGTTTTGTATTTGGTTGATAGTGAAGGCTTGTGAAGGAGATTGAATGAAGGTTGTGGAGGGATTTTTGTGTGTGAAACTTGCATACACAGTGTGTGGTGTTTGTATTAGTGACAACGGGTAAATTTTCAATTTTAACATACTGTTTCATTGTTTTTTCTAAAGCAGTAATTGTTTTGTTAATTTAGTGCAATTTATTGGACAGATTTGGACAACAAGTTGATGCAGGTTATGGGCTGCTTTGTGCAGGCTTTGTAGTGGACAGCAGTAGTGATATCACATAGCAGGCCTTTGGACATAGCCACGATTTTGGAGGTTGGGCAGCAGGCTGTTTGTAGTGGCACATGGTACTGTTATTATTGGAGTTTTATGGACAGTAAAAGTAGGTTTTTTATGCAAGTTGCTTGGCTATTTTGCACAACAAATTTGGATTGTTATGTAGGCTACTTATGGCAAAAGAAACTTGGTCTTTGAAGGACATAGGTCTTGAAAATTTGTAAAGGCTTTAGGGCATTAGGTTTTTTTTAGAACAAAACTAGTGTAATTATTTTCAAATATGGTTTGATCTTTGTAATGACATGTATTGAATCTTGGAACATAGTAATGTATTTGGCATCTTTGTAATATTTGACTCTTGAATGAAATGATATAAGTTTGATAATCCAAATATTATTCTTTTGTTTAGAACAAACTAACTTGATGATAAATGTGAATATGCTTTTCTTGCATGAATATTGAATGAGTGAAGAACACTTTGAATTATTTGCAACTTGAATCCTTGTATTTGTCTTGAGGAAACTTGGAATCTTCCATATGAATTTGAAATTAATCTCATGCCTTGCATAATATTTGATGACCTTGAAATATCATGCCTTGAAAATAGTCTTGAAATAATGGAATGTGATGCATGATTTGAATCTTGAATGCATTTTGTAATGAACTTATTTTGATGATAATGATGGAAAGTGGTTAATCTTGAACTTGTATGAATTTTGAATCCATGCCTTGAATGAAATCAATGAAGTTTCAACCTATTTCTTTCAAATTGCATTTTATTTCAACTTTAACATTTGTATCTTGTCTTCCGAGTACGCCATGAATCTTTCAACTTTGCTTGAATCAAATGTTTAAGAACAATCACTTGGAATAATAAACCTTCTTATTCTAGCCTCAAATCAAATATTGACAAATCATGACCTTAAGACCCTGAATCAAGATTTGTTATTCATAAAATTTCATTCAATAGATTTTCATGTTGTGTTTTAAACTCAATTCAACCATAATACCTTGATACAACATCTTTTTCTTAACCACCAAAATGTGACACGAACCAAAAAGAAAACTCTGAATCAATAAATTCTTGAAAGAAAACTTGATGCATTTTTTATTGAGACAAAGCCTTTCTAGTTGATGGAATTAACACACACAAGTCCCTTGAAATGAAGATGATTTGAGAACACAAGGACGAAACCTGGCTCATAAGGTTCTTTCTGAAGTGATTATGGAAACTCTGGTATCAACAAACTCAAATTCATCTATTGAATGAAGAAGGTGACTTGAGATGTTGAGAATCCATAAAACCCTGGTTCGTAGTCTACCCAATTGAAAATAAGGAGAGAATCCTAACATCAACAAGTTGCAACCCTAAAATCATTTTCTTGAGAAGTTTTTGAAACCAATGAAAGAAGAATTTCACAACAACCATGGGTCCAAAAACCTATTCCCTTGAAAAACAATAGGGAAGTAAACCCTAATCCGAGATCTGATGGATTTGAATGAGAAATTTCCTTGTAACTTGATGATAAAGATATCCATGATAACCAAACTTAAAAACCCTAATTCCGCGTAGTTCATTGCTCGGGATCCAGATGAAAAACTCCTTTATCTGATGACGAAACCTCAAGTCCCATGGAACTTTAGCTGAGGTGCAACAACTGATGTTATTGATTTCTAAAGAGAAGTTGGAGATGACGTCAAGGAGGGTTGTTGTACCCCAAAATTTGCCCTCCCATATCCATCAAGAAATTACCAAGTCAAGGTCACAAAATTCCCCCAGGGTTGTGCAGCTCAACTGTCTCCTATACAGTCAAGACTAGGGTTTGAGTTCTGGTCAAGCAAATGAACTTTTCAAAGGCCCAATCAAGTCTCATATGCTTACAAAGATGGTCAAGTATCCTCATGTCAAGTTTCAAGGCATTCAGCTCAAAATTGCACAGTCAAAACCCTAAATTGCACTACAGTCAACTGTAGGGGCAAAATGGTCATTTGACAGTCAAAAGTTCAAATTTTTGGTCAACATATCATTTTGAAGCCATAAACATCATTTGATCAGTGCTTGATCATGATTCTCAAAATTTGGCTCAGAGATCATCAAAGATGCAAAAGTTGCTATATTTGGACAGCTGAAAAAGTCAACTGAAATTGACCAGGGCATAACTTTCACATGGATTATCAGAAAAATTCCATCCAAAGCTCATTGTGAAGAGAAAGACATTTCCTACAATTCATCTTCATGTTCCAAGTCCAAGAAATGCTCTCACAAAAAGTTATCAATTTCAACATTATAGGTCATTTTCAAAAGTCAACAAAAAGGGACTTTAAGTCAAAGACCATAACTTGAGATTGGTAAATCAAAATGACATGGGACCAAAGGCATTGGTTAAAAGACTCAAAGAACTTTCCAAAATGTCCAAGAACATGTGAAAAGCTTAAAAATTGACCAAGTTATGCCTTGTGGAAGTTGGGAAATTTTTAGGAATTTTGAAAAGTCAACATTGATGCAAAAGGCCTAAAAATGCAAATGGGCCCATTTTTCTTCCAAGTTTCTTCATGCCAAGCCTATGCACGACCATTAGGCCCAAAGGGAAGTATTTTCATATTTTTTAATTATTTATTTGAATTTATATTAATTTATATTCATTTAAATCATTTTAAATACATGAAAAATATAAACCTAACCTAAAAAAATCCTTTTATGCACATTCTAATCTCAATATTTCGTGCTTGATTGATTATGGCAAGTTTTGATAAGATTTGAGCTGATTGAACACAAAAACCATGAAAAAAGATTGTAAAAGATCCTTAACAAATCAAAGATTGAAAACAATTATTGCCATGGATTTTGTGTAATATTCTTAACCTAAAAGCTTGGCTATATACTCAGAATCACAACCCTAAGCAAAAGAGACTGCAAGCTGCGCCCAAAGACCCTTCACAAACTTGAGAAATTTCTCCAAAAATCCAAAACTGAAATCAGTTCTAGGAGGCGATTCAAAGCGCAAGTTTCATTCCATTAGCATCCTGAGACATCCTTGGACACATTCCAATCATTAACAACAGCAAAAAGACCTTGAATTGGTATCAAGAACCCGGACTGAACCTCAAAAATTTTGAAATCGCATAGCATGATTTAAGCATATTTGTGCATTTTTATTTACATATTCATGATCACAATGATGTTTCTAAACTAACTGATACGTTTGATTGTGTTTTTGAGCCACCTATGCGTTTTCGCCATTGTCACATACTAGGGTTTGCAGGTTTCAAATTTGGGGGTTTTTGCCCAAGGAAAAATCATGCTTCCAGACCAGTGCCATTAGCTTAAGCAGGTTGAGACGAAGAAGTTGGCACCCTCGCGCTCAATTTATGAGCGACGAGGGGCTAGTCGCTATTTTCCTCTAGGTCCCCTAAAGCAACGATCAAAAAACCGTTGCCATCGTCCTTCATGTTTCAGAAAACGAAAGAGACGATGAGTTGTCACACGGAGACAGGCCAGTTTGAATTTACGCGCGTTTTAACCATTAGGCGTTGAATTTGCTTTTTGTCATTTGTTTGATATAATATATTAAATAGAACACAATGGCTCAGCTGGCAGGTACCAACGCATATGACTTTCAAGACCTGGGTTCAAGTCCCAGGTCTGGCAAAAATTCCATGCTATTTTTCAATATGAGATCCTATACTTTGCTAATGTCCAGGTGCACCATATTTCCTCACCATCAGGCAGCCCACGTGTCCAGGACCTCTCACTCAAGGCAGAAGATTGGGGTACACCCTAGGCATGAGTCAAAGCATCACACACAATCCAAAAAGTCAACGAATGTCAAAGCTTAATGGGCCAAAACTCCAGGCCTATACCTCCAATTTTGGGACAACACCCCACCCTGGTTTGAAATTTCATTTATTTCCCTTATATCTTTTTAATTCATATTTTATTTATTTATTGTTTTAATTCAGTAATTATTTTTTACAAAAAATATAAAAATCAGAAAAGGACCAAAAAATAATATTTGTTTTATTATAATTATTTTATTAGCATGTAAATAAACTAATTCCAAATTAGGTCTAATTTATATTTTTTCCATAACAAAAAATCCAACAAAATAGAATTAGGTTAATTGATATCTTTTTATTCCTTTTAATATTTTTCCTTTTTTTTAGAATAATAATATTACTTATTTATTTTCATAAATTAAAAATTGCACATAAATAAATTAGGGTTTAATGTAGATCATATTTTAATTCTTTCATAATAAATAAAAAAATATTAGAATTAGGGTTTGCCGTTTAATTTAATTTCAATTAATTTCTTTTCCTTATTAAATCTAAAAAATACAAAAATATCAAAAAAAACATTTAATCATTTAAATTTTTAATTCTCATTAACCATTAATACTTTGCAAAAGGGTCCAACGCCCTAGTT